AGAGTTGCTATTCCATCCATAATACACTTCGGTGGGCAGAAGGAAGGTTCCTGAAGGTTGTGTGGGATTTCATTCATATCATTCATATCAGTGCATTGGAAACCAGAGAAGTTCATGTAACCTCTTCCTGCCCGGGCCACATGTTCAAATCAGTCATTATTTATGCTAGAAAATGACTCCGCCCCCCAAATATCCATTGTCTGAAGCGTAGGCCCTGGGAGATGGTGGGCGCTGCGGTTGTTTTATGCCATGCAATATTTGCGCAGCCATTTATCAAACACACGTTTTCAGGGAAAAATATACTTAAATGCATTTCAGTGCAAACAAACACAATCTAATACCCATTATAAAAGATGATGTTACGCTGAGCAAATAGATACCTAACATGTCGAGGTTCAAAATGACGCACACCTGGGAAATGCCGACAGACTAAATAAAACCTGTGAGAAGTGGAGATCTATCTGAGCAACATGGGAGATCAGAGACCCCCGGGGTGGCACACATTGCTTGTCTCTTCTGCAATAAAAAGCCTGCCTGTTCGCAGTTTCACTTTAACACTGAATATTCTGTTCTGTCATAGGCCCAATTGTGGCTGGTTCTCTTTACGACTAGAACCACACAAAAATAAATATAAACTTGCACGGGAGGCAAATATAATTCTTTAATAATCCCTGTTAATCCTGCCGTGAAGGTATTTGAGCACTTCCTGTTACAGGGTGACAAAACTCTGTCACTGGCTCCGGAACGTGTTCCTCTCATCACCCTAATGAAAAAGCACAGGCTTCAGGTAGAACATACAAGGAGCCATTTCGGCACACATTACACAAGCATGCTCCACTGCTGCCACAATCAGGAAACCCAGATTATATTATGAGTAGAGTAGAGATGAGCGAATCGAACCAGGCGAGGTGGAATTCGTTTCGAATTTCAGGAAAAATTCGATTCGCGGCGAATCCGAATATTAGCATACTTCGGGTGCGCGAATCGGATTTTTCCTGATCAGCCGGCAAAAGTGTCCCTGCAGAGAGCTCCGCTATTTCTGACAGTTCTCTGACAGTTCCTTCACATGTACAGCGGTTGAAACATTGTATCTATTTGTTTCCATTTAGGATACAGATGTTTTTATTCGGAAATAGATACAATGTTTCAACCGCTGTAAATGTGAAGGAACTGTCAGAGAACTGTCAGAAATAGCGGAGCTCTCTGCAGATACACTTTTTGCTGTACTGGAATACTTCTTCTTTTCATTCTTCTTTTCATTCTTCTTTTCATTCTTCTTCTTCTTTTCATTCTTCTCATTCTTCTTTTCTTCTTCATGAAAAGAAGAATGAAAAGAAGAATGAGAAGAATGAAAAGAAGAATGAAGAAGAAGAAGAATGAGAAGAAGAATGAAAAGAAGAATGAAAAGAAGAATGAGAAGAATGAAAAGAAGAATGAAAAGAAGAAGAATGAAAAGAAGAAGAAGAAGAATGAAAAGAAGAATGAGAATGAGAAGAATGAAAAGAAGAATGAAAAGAAGAAGAAGAATGAAAAGAAGAATGAGAAGAAGAATGAGAAGAATGAAAAGAAGAAGAAGAATCTTTTCATTCTTCTCATTCTTCTTTTCATTCTTCTTCTTCTTTTCTTCTTCTTCTTTTCATTCTTCTTCTTTTCATTCTTCTTCTTTTCATTCTTCTTCTTTTCATTCTTCTTTTTTTTCTTCTTTTCTTCTTTCTTCTTTTTCATTCTTCTTCTTCTTCTTCTTTTCATTCTTCTCTCTTCTTCTTTTCATTCTTCTTCTTCTTTTCATTCTTCTTCTTCTTCTTTTCATCCTTCTTCTTCTTCTTTTCATTCTTCTTCTTCTTCTTCTTCTTTTCATTCTTCTTTCTTCTTTTCTTCTTTTCATTCTTCTTTTCATTCTTCTTTTCTTCTTCATGAAGAATGAAAAAAGAATGAAAAGAAGAAGAAAAAGAAGAAGAAGAATGAAAAGAAGAATGAGAAGAATGAAAAGAAGAAGAAGAATGAGAAGAAGAATGAAAAGAAGAATGAGAAGAATGAGAAGAATGAAAATGAAGAATGAAAAGAAGAAGAAGAAGAATGAAAAGAAAAGAAAAGAAGAAGAAGAATGAAAAGAAGAATGAAAAAGAAGAAGAAGAAGAATCTTTTCATTCTTCTCATTCTTCTTTTCATTCTTCTTTTTATTCTTTTCATTCTTCTTCTTCTTTTCATTCTTCTTCTTCTTCTTTTCATTCTTTCTTCTTCTCATTCTTCTTTTCATTCTTCTTCTTTTCTTCTTCTTCTTCTTCTTTTCATTCTTCTTTTCATTCTTCTTCTTTTCATTCTTCTTCTTCTTTTCATTCTTCTTTTCATTCTTCTTCTTCTTTTCATTCTTCTTTTCATTCTTCTTCTTCTTCTTTTCTTTCTTCTTCTTCTTCTTTTCATTCTTCTTCTTTTCATTCTTCATTTTTCTTTTCATTCTTCTTCTTCTTCTTTTCATTCTTCTTTTCCTTCTTCTTTTCATTCTTCTCATTCTTCTTTTCATTCTTCTTTTCTTCTTCTTTTCATTCTTCTTTTCATTCTTCTTTTCTTCTTCATGAAAAGAAGAATGAGAAGAAGAATGAAAAAAGAATGAAGAAGAGAAGAATGAAAAGAAAGAAGAATGAAAAGAAGAATGAGAAAGAAGAATGAAGAAAGAGAAGAATGAAAAGAAGAATGAAAAGAAGAATGAAAAGAAGAAGAATGAAAAGAAGAATGAAAAGAAGAATGAAAAGAAGAAGAAGAATGAAAAGAAGAATGAGAAGAAGAAAGAAGAATGAAAAGAAGAATGAGAAGAATGAAGAAGAAGAAAGAAGAGAAGAATGAAAAGAAGAATGAAAAGAAGAAGAAGAAGAATCTTTTCATTCTTCTCATTCTTCTTTTCATTCTTCTTCTTCTTCTTTTCATTCTTCTTCTTTTCATTCTTCTTTTCATTTCTTCTTCTTCTTTTCATTCTTCTTCTTCTTCTGAGGATGAAGAAGAAGAAGAAGTAGGATGAAAATAAGAAGAATTCCAAGCCGGCAAAAAGTGTATCTGCAGAGCTCCGCTAAGTGTATCTGCAGAGCTCCGCTATTTCTGACAGTTCTCTGACATTCACTCCATACAGCGGTTGAAACATTGTATCTATTTGTTTCCATTTATGAATGTCAGAGAACTGTCAGAAATAGCGGAGCTCTGCAGATACACTTTTTGCCGGCTTGGAATTCTTCTTATTTTCATCCTACTTCTTCTTCTTCATCCTCATCCTCAGAAGAAGAGGATGAGGATGAAGAAGAAGAAGAAGTAGGATGAAAATAAGAAGAATTCCAAGCCGGCAAAAAGTGTATCTGCAGAGCTCCGCTAAGTGTATCTGCAGAGCTCCGCTAAGAAATAGCGGAGCTCTGCAGATACACTTTTTGCCGGCTTGGAATTCTCCTTCTTCTCATCCTTCTTCTTCTTCTTCTCATCCTTTCTTCTTCTCATCCTTCTTCTCCTTCTTCTCATCCTTCTCCTTCTTCTCATCCTTCTTCTCCTTCTTCTCATCCTTCTTCTCCTTCTTCTCATCCTTCTTCTCCTTCTTCTCATCCTTCTTCTCCTTCTTCTCATCCTTCTTCTTCTTCTCATCCTTCTTCTTCTTCTCATCCTTCTTCTTCTTCTCATCCTTCTCCTTCTTCTCATCCTTCTTCTTCTTCTCATCCTTCTTCTTCTTCTCATCCTTCTTCTTCTTCTCATCCTTCTCCTTCTTCTCATCCTTCTCCTTCTTCTCCTCCTTCTTCTCATCCTTCTCCTTCTTCTCATCCTTCTCCTTCTCCTTCTTCTCATCCTTCTCCTTCTTCTCATCCTTCTCCTTCTCCTTCTTCTCATCCTTCTCCTTCTTCTCATCCTTCTCCTTCTCCTTCTTCTCATCCTTCTCCTTCTTCTCATCCTTCTCCTTCTCCTTCTTCTCATCCTTCTCCTTCTTCTCATCCTTCTCCTTCTCCTTCTTCTCATCCTTCTCCTTCTTCTCATCCTTCTCCTTCTTCTCATCCTTCTCCTTCTTCTCATCCTTCTCCTTCTCTCATCCTTCTCCTTCTCCTCATCCTTCTCCTTCTCCTCATCCTTCTCCTTCTTCTCATCCTTCTCCTTCTCCTTCTTCTCATCCTTCTCCTTCTTCTCATCCTTCTCCTTCTCCTTCTTCTTCTTCTCATCCTTCTTCTTCTTCTCATCCTTCTCCTTCTTCTCATCCTTCTTCTTCTTCTCATCCTTCTTCTTCTCATCCTTCTCCTTCTTCTCATCCTTCTCATCCTTCTCCTTCTTCTCATCCTTCTTCTCATCCTTCTCCTTCTTCTCATCCTTCTCCTTCTCCTTCTTCTCATCCTTCTCCTTCTTCTCATCCTTCTCCTTCTCCTTCTTCTTCTCATCCTTCTCCTTCTCCTTCTTCTCATCCTTCTCCTTCTTCTCATCCTTCTCCTTCTTCTCATCCTTCTCCTTCTTCTCATCCTTCTCCTTCTTCTCATCCTTCTCCTTCTTCTCATCCTTCTCCTTCTTCTCATCCTTCTCCTTCTTCTCATCCTTCTCCTCCTTCTCCTTCTCCTTCCTCATCTCCAAGGGCATTTAAATTAAAGGTACAGTGTTCTGCACTAATATAAAGGCTCTCTGAAGCCTAGAAACCCTTTTTATAAGTTAAATTCGTAGCGAATAAATTCGCATCGAATCGAATTTCTTCCTCAAATTCGGCGAATCAGCCGAATCGAATTTTTGAATAATTCGCTCATCTCTAATTATGAGCATAGTTTTAGAAAGATTGAGTTTGTGGCATCTAAACTGAAGCCTGCAGCAGCATGGAGGTCCATAATCCAAACAGAGCACCTAGATCTGGATTAGGTCCTTGTTCCTGAACCATGCCATGTGCATTCTGTTTCCAGGTGAGTGGTGATGGTGAGGCCACAGAAGATGCCGTTGTCATCCTGGAGAGGACGCCCTTCCAGGCTGAATCTGTGTCCAATCTTCTTGGCAACAACCCAGCAATGACACGACAGCTGAAGAATGACATCTATGGAGTTTACCACCTGAGTCCTCCAGCAGAGCTGAACGGTGAGTGGAGACTTCCCCTCAAAGCACACAGTGACAGTCCTCATAGATAGACTTGTGCTTAAAAGAATCTCTTAGCAAGCAGGATGTATACAGTGAGGAACAGAAGTATTGAACACCCTGCAATTTTGCTAGTTCTCTCACTTAGAAATCATGGAGGGGTCTGAAATTCACATTGTAGGTGCATTCCCACTCCGAGAGACAGAATTAAAAAAAAAATTCAGGAAATCACATTGTATGATTTTTAAAGAATTTATTTGTGTTGCACTGCTGAACATAAGTATTTGAACACCTGAGAAAATCAGTGTTAATATTTGGTACAGAAGCCTTTGTTTGCAATTACAGAGGTCAAACGTTTTCTGTAGTTCTGGACCAGGTTTGCACACACTGCAACAGGGATTTTGGCCCACTCCTCCACACAGATCTCCTCTAGATCTGTCAGGTTTCGGGGCTGTCGCTGAGCAACATGGAGTTTCAGCTCCCTCCAAAGATGTTCTATTGGATTTAGGTCTGGAGACTGGCTAGGCCATTCCAGAACCTTGATATGCTTCTTACGGAGCCACTCCTTGGTTATCCTGGCTGTGTGCTTTGGGTCGTTGTCATGTTGGAAGACCCAGCCATGACCCATCTTCAATGCTCTGACTGAGAGAAGGAGGTTGTTGCTCAAAATCTCACAATAAATGGCCCCAGTCATCCTCTCCTTAATACAGTGCAGTCATCCTGTCCCCTTCACAGAAAAGCACCCCCAAAGCATGATGTTACCTCCCCCATGCTTCACAGTAGGGATGGTGTTCTTGGGATGCAACTCATCCTTCTTTTTCCTCCAAACACGACGAGTGAAGTTTAGACCAAAAAGTTTAACTTTGGTCTCATCTGACCACATGACTTTTCTCCCATGCCTCCTCTGGATCATCCAGATGGTCATTGGCAAACTTCAGACGGGCCTGGACATGTGATGACTTGAGCAGGGGAACCTCCGTGCAATGCATGATTTAAAACCATGACAGCGTAGTGTTCTACCGACAGTGACCTTTGACACTGTGGTCCCAGCTCTCTTCATGTCATTGACCAGCTCATCCCTTGTAGTTCTGGGCTGATTCCTCACCTTTCTTATCAGTGATACCCCACGAGGTAAGATCTTGCATGGAGCCCCAGTCCGAGGGAGACTGACAGTCGTCTTTAGCCTCTTCCATTTTCTAACAATTGCTCGAACAGTTGATCTATTTTCACCAAGCTGCTTGGCAATTGCCCGTAGCCCTTTCCAGCCTTGTGGAGGTCCACAATTTTGTCTCTGGTGTCTTTTGACAGCTCTTTGATCTTGCCCATGGTAGTAGTTGGTGTCTGACTGACTGTGGGGTAGACAGGTGTCTTTAAAGAGCTCAGACAGGTGCTACTAAGTTAGATTAATGAGTGGAGTAGAGGTGGACTTTTTAAAGGCACAGTAACAGGTCTTTGAGAGCCAGAATTCTTGCTGTTTTCTTAGGTGTTCAAATACTTATGTTCAGCAGTGCAAGACAAATAAATTCTTTAAAAATCATACAATGTGATTTCCTGAATTTTTTTTTTTAATTCTGCCTCTCAGAGTGGGAATGCACCTACAATGTGAATTTCAGACCCCTCCATGATTTCTAAGTGGGAGAACTTTCAAAATCACAGGGTGTTCAAATACTTCTGTTCCTCACTGTATGTGAGAAGCAATATGTGGAAGCTGGGCTCTTCCAGGGTGCACACTATATCTGAGTGGAGAAAAACAAACAGAGGGCGCACCGGCCTAGTGCATTACCTTAAATGTATTTATTAAATAATAAAAGTAGGTTTTGTACTCACAAAATGACAATACAGTCAAAGGCACTGTTAGGGATCCGGGTATGACCAGAAATGTGTGGACTGACACAGGGAAGTAGAAGACTTCAGGAACACCGGCGTAGTCAGGCTGGAGAGGTGGAATGGTCAGGCAGGCCATAAGGTACTGTCAGGTGCCGCCTGGCAGTGTCTCTAGCAGCCCACAGCACGAATTTCCTCAGGGCGCGGGGTCTAAGTCCCAGCCTGCTATTCACCAGGGCCCCTGATGGTGGGGATGGACTTGGTGCAGACTGGAACCAGGTCGCGACCCCTGAGTGCGTCCGGCTATGGTAGAGAGTACTGGCAGGGGAGTGCAGGAACGGAGTCTGATGGGAAGAGGCAGGCAGACTTACTAAAGGTGATCCGTGTGGGATGGATGGATCGTCGAGTGAAGTAAGCGTAGTCAGACAGGCCGGTTCAGTACCGTGCGGGCAGCGTGGTACAGGAGAAGCAAGCATAGAATGGTCGGGGTCACAAGCCAGGTTTAGCAGGTAGCGGGCAGCGCGGTACCGAGGATCAGGCAGAAGGATGGTCAGGCAAGCCAGGGGTTCAACAGGAGACGGTCAGCAGAGGTCAGGATCAAAGCAGGGTCAGCAACAAGGCAGGAACACAGGATACCAGGTACAGGGGCTCATGGGAAACATACACCAAGGCCCTGATCACAGGCCTGGTCATTCCTTAAATACACTTCCTGCAATCAGCTTCAGGTGTTGGCTGACTGCAGGAGTGAGCTTCTGGCTGCTGAGAGCACCCGCTGGTCAGCCCTGGTACTGCAGCCCACACGGCAGGTGAGTCCCACCACCAGTGCTGAGTCCATTCCTGACAGGCACATTGTGAAAGAGCAGCTTTGTCCAATCCGTACTACGTGTCTGTCTTTAACGGAACCTCTGGACCTCCAACAGGCTGACGCGTTTCAAGGACTTTCCTCTTCCTCAGAGCCAGCTCAGAGTGCGCCCTCTGTTTAGTTTTCTCCACTTCCCCTGTCATTTGAGGACAGCAAGGCGTGCATATCCCAAGAAATTCGTGATGTGATCTTATCTATACACAGTCCACCCCTAAGCGCAGGAGTATCTGGGTTTGCCATTTCTTCACTGCACACTATGGGAGCAGTGGCTTCACTCACAGCATCAGCTTCACTCCCCCAACAAAGTAGGTTACCTAGTTCCACTTACTGACTGCTATGCCCTGGTTGTGTTCTGTAGTGACGTAGGGCTGGTGAAATCATATTGCATGGCAAGAGTGTAACCCTACCAGATATTTATTACCACTCAGAGATCACAGTTCTCCCCCTTGACCATGCCTTCATCCACATTCTTTTCTCTCCAGTAGGACAGTGCTATCTTTGTTCAGGCATCATCAGGGACTGGTTAGGTTACCATAAAGGGGCAAACAGTATCTCTTACAGATCTTGTCCTTCCCCCACCCTGTGACTGGACAGTAAATGAGAAGCAGTAGACTGAGATCATCTCTCCTGTCGGCATCCTCCTTGCACGGCAGCACAACCATTTGACTTTTTGTGCTGCTTCTTCCTCCCACAGTCTGTGCTTTGCTATACAAGAGGCTGATACCATGACAAAGTGAGGTACTTACACTGCTTGCATTTAAAAAAAATATATAATTGTTATAATGTACAGTCTTAATGTATGCTAATAGAGTCCCCTACTTGAGGTTTAAAGTTGTCTTTTTTTTGTTTGTTTGTATTTTTGGCGACTTTTGCTTTAGTGACTGGTCAATGTGTAGGGTTTAGTTTATGGTGAATGATGTTTTTTATTCCTTTTATCCAGACATTAAAACGACAGTTATTAGACCGGCCACAGAAAAGCACATCAAGAAATATCTCCACCAGGAGGTCTACTTAATCCAGGAATCAGGGGAGGATTATAAGAACATCACATTACCTTTCATAGAGTCTCAGAGCTTTAGCATACAGGTGAGTGGAGGCTGAAGTCAGCATCTGTACAATATTGCACACATCTGGGGTATGTAAGGTCTCAGAATTCACTGATGCCTGCTTGGGCAGCTATAGGTTCCAGGGAAGATGTTAGATAGATCTGTCCAATATGTATAGTCATATAGTGGAGTGGGGGAAGGATTAGGTCAGGTTCTTTGCTGTCCCCACTGTGGAGTTTCACCCCCTACTCTACTTATCCTAGTGACCATTGTCACAGGAGCACAAAATGATGGGAAGTCCAACATTTTACAATTGTCACCAGAACAGTATTAGAGGGGAACCCTTCCAATGGGGACACCTATTCTCGTGACAACTGTCTAGGAGAGGATTTATGATGATCAAAACATAGACTCAAACAAAGAGATATTTGTGGTATGTAAATATTTAACATTTAAAGTGATCTTCAATTATTATTTTCTAAAAAAACCAAACCTGTCATACGTATCTGCTCTGTGCAATAGTTTTTGATCCTCCTCTTTTATTGTCCCCCGTCAGCACTCCTGGCTCCTCCCCCTCATCAAGTGCCCCCGTGGCAAGCTCCATTGACACAGACAGTGTGGCTTAGCACCACTTCTGCCTCTCCTTACTGGCTGTGATTGACAACAGCAGGAGCCAATGGCTCACACTGCTGTCTCTGAGCCAGTGAGGAGGAAGAGGGCTGAGAGAGCCACTGCTATTGTACTTGCTTGATTGAGAACGGGCTTAGCAAAGTATAGAGGGAAGGCTGGGGGTTAGAGCAGCCCACATAAGGTTTTTTACCTCAAAGTATAGAATGCATTAAAAAAAATCTTACAGCTTTACAACCACTTTAACACATGAATATAAGCATTTAAGTTTTTTTTATTTTTTTTTTTTTTACATAAAAAGGGGTTTAATAAGTGTAATTGAAGAAAAAAAAAAAGGTAAAGTTTTCATGACAGAAGAGACCCTGTTAGTTTCTCTATCATAAATATGTCTCCCTGACTGTCAACAGTAATTTTCATTGAGCTGCACATGCACAGCTCAGTGTACATTTACGCCAACCCCTCTGTGCTCAGATGTTGTCACTCCAGTGAACATGTGTGGGAGTGATATCCTTGCAGCTTGACCATTATAGTAGTCTGAACCCGGAAGGGAGACCAGGGGAAGTTGGAAGCGCCCCTGACAGTGGAGGGCATCATTTGACAGGTAAGTCTGCCATAATGTGCTAATATGTGGTGCATACTAGTACATTATGGCATAAAGCTCTTAGGAGCCCATTTAATTATTTAAAAAAAAAAAAAGTTTAATTCCTTTTTTTTTTTTTTTTTTTTTAAACCAAACCTGCGGTATGGACTACTTTTCATAGTTATATTGGTGCAATATAAGTATGTATATGCCATACCTGGCTGATCCTTGTAGAAAGCTGAAATCACTGTTTAGGCACTGATACTACAGTGATCACTGCTAGGTTCCAGGATGACTACCATGCTGCATAGTGAACACAGGAGGTTGCTTGCTTGGCACCATCACCATTCAGAGAACACTTTGCATTTATTATGAAAATGCAAAGTATTCTCTGTTTGGACAAGGTCACAACCCTACGTCTTCACTTCTTCTAATCAGAGAATGCTTCTCATTTGTTGAGAAAATGCAAGGTGTTCTTTGAAGCAAACAACCCTCTGTTCACTAAGCAGTATGTCAGTGGCTTGCCACAGGACCCGGAAGCTAGTAGAAATTAGTGTAGTAGCAAATTTCTTGCTTCCACCGGGATTGACCAGGCATGCCCATGCATGCTTACACTGGTCCAGGCTGGACCAATGTATCCATGCAAAATAGTCCATACCTAAACTCCAGCTTTAACATTCTTTGTTGACGTCATGAAAAGATGCATTACAAAACCATATTGGTTTGTGGTGTACACCCAATAATCTTGCATATGCTGATCCAACACATTTCTTGGAACAATGCGGTTTAATTTGTGCAGGTATTCTGCATGTAATGGATCATAGTATGTTGTGTTTGGACAAATGTCCCTAATCAATCACATACGGAGTCAAGACTACTCTTTAGAAGGTACCCAGTATGTCAGAGCAGTCCATACATGCGAGAGCCTATGTGTATCCTCAGACTGAAGTAGTTTCCCCTAAGGATCTGTCTTATCTAGTGCCAGTGATGATGCAGTGAAGTACTGATGACCGTTGTCACCAAGACAGAAAGTGATGGGAAATGCAAAATTTTAGAGTTGTCACCAGAACAGGAATACGTGCTACATCTTCCTGCTGGAATAAAAGTTTTGGTGATAGCTGTCTATGATGGAAATGATCATAATCCTGGGGGGATTGCCGCTCACTTTGAGGGGTTTTGAACCAGTAGTTTAACATAACTGAGTCTTCTTTCTGTCCTTTGTCTTACAGTGGGTCTATAACATTCTGGAGAAGAAGGCAGAGGCTGACCGCATTGTATATGAGAACTCAGATCCAGATAATGGCTTCATACTCCTTCCTGATTTCAAGTGGAATCAGAAGCAGGTTTGTAAGCTCAGTAGAGTGACCTTATTGCAGTGTTTCTTTTCATTTCAGCAGATGTTATTATAGATGTTTGACATATAGGCCTCTTTCACATGTCTGGTTACATGTGGCCACTGGATTCCTACGATAAGAATCGACAGGTTCTTGCTGCTAGAATGACTGGTTCATGCGATCAGCAGGGGTCTCTCAGCCCTTCTGAACTAATGATAAATATCCAAGTTCGCGTTTCCTACAAACCACATATAAATGTGGAGCTGCCCATTGGCAAGCTTGAAAAGCCTGAAAACATACAAACATAAAATATATGTACCATGCTCCCTAAATCCCTTATAAATTGCAATAACAGTGCTAAAAATCAGTTACCAACACAAACTAAGTGCAATATATTACAGTTGTGCTCAAAAGTTTGCATACCCTGGCAGAAATTGTGACATTTTGGCTTTTATATTGAAAATATGACTAATCATGCCAAAAAAATGCTCTTTTATTGAAGGATGATGATCATATGAAGCCATTTATTATCAAATAGTTGTTTGACTCCTTTTTAAATCATAATAACAGAAATCACCCAAATGGCCCTGATTAAAAGTTTACATACCCTGGGATGTTTGACCTTGGTACAGACACACAAGGTTCAGGGTTATCTTGATACCAAGCCAAGTACAGGTAGACCAAGAAAGATTGCAGCCACAACTGCCAGAAGAATTGTTCGGGATACAAAGGGAAACCCATAGGTAACCACAAGAAAAATACAAGCTGCTCTGGAAAAAGACAATTTGGTTGTTTTGAAGGAACACAATATGATGACACTTGAACAAAAATGAGCTGCATGGTCGAGGTGCAAGAAAGAAGCCTTTACTGCATCAATGACACAAAAAGGACTGGTTAGGCATGTCAAGGTGTTGTCAGGCATATTGTAACTGGGATTTTTTGTAGCATTGGTGCAGTAAAAGCTCCTTTCTGGCACCTCGACCAAACAGCTCACTTTTGTTCAAGTATCACCGTATTATACTCCTTAAAAACAACACACCATCTTTTTTCAGAGCTGCCTGTATTTCTTTTGAGGTTGCCTGTGGGTTTTTCTTTGAGTCCTGGACAATTCTTCTGTCAGTTATGGCTGCAATCTTTCTTGGTCTACCTGACCTTTGCTTGGTATCAAGAGATCCCTGAACTTTCCACTTCTTAAATAGGTGATTTAACAGTACTGATTGGCATATTCAAGGCTTTGGACATCATTTTATGTCCTTTTCCATCTTTATAAAGTTCCATTAGCTTGTTACGCAGGACATTTGACAGTTCTTTTCTGATCCCCATGGCTCAGTATCTAGCCTAATCAGTGCTTCCACGTAAGAGCTAACAAATTAATTGACTATTTATACACTGACACTAATTGCAATTTAAAAAGCCACAGATGTGGGACATTAATCTCTAAGTGGCATTTTAACCTGTGGGTGTCACCTTGTGTGTCTGTACCAAGTCCAAACATTCCTGGAAACTTTTGATCATGGCCATTTGGGTGATTTCTGTTATCTTTAGGATTTTAAAAGGAGCCAAACAACTATTTGGTAATAAATGGCTTCATATGATCATCATCCTTCAATAAAAGAGCATTTTTTGGCATGATCAGTCATATTTGCAATATCAATGCCAAAATTTCTGCCAGGGTATGCAAACTTTTGAGCACAACTGTATAAATAATTAAATCCGTATCACAAATGCCTGATACCTCTATAAATTAGGTGCAAATTAAATGACAATGTGAATGCTTCTGAATTCCATGTTCCCAGTGTGCAAAAGTAAAGACACCCAAGAAATAAGTGCTCTTCCTCTCTTCCCAGAAACGATACCACACCGCACTCACCAGAAATATATGACCTCTTCTCCTAAAGAAGGTCATGTATGCTTGAAATGGATCAAATCCTCCCATTTTGGCTATTTGCATATATGGACCACATCAGATATCGACAAGGGTAATATGCAGCAAGAGACTCTAAACAAAAAATCTCCCTCACAGAGGGAACTAGAGGACCTCCTCATAATGTAGTAAGGATTATTTAAAAAAAAAAAAAAAAACACTTTAAAATTACACTTACATCAAGTAAAATCATTCAAACATGTATATCACCAAAAAGGAACGCCGGTTTGCATTCCTCCAACCAGAAGTGACATATCGCAGAAGCTCCAACTAACATATTTCGGCAGCAACGTCTGATGTCATCAGGGGTCCTTCTAAACCAGTGGTTCTTAACCTGGGTTCGATCGAACCCCAGGGGTTCGGTGAGTCAGTCTCGCGGGTTCGGCGGAGGTGAAGACCCACACCCGACTCATATGATTTGTGCAGTAAATATTCATTATTCTGTTTTTGTTTTTGTGTGAAAATCATGTTTTAATGGTTTTGTACTTTGTTCTTAACGGTTTTGTTCATTTTGTGCACCTATGTATAAATATATACCTATGTTTTGAATTTTAAAAATCATATTTTATTTTTCCAATTAAGAAGGGTTCGGTGAATGCGCATATGAAACTGGTGGGGTTCAGTACCTCCAACAAGGTTAAGAACCACTGTTCTAAACTAATGGTGGGCTGATAGTGGTGACTGCTGTTCACATGCGCACACAGAGCGGTTAGCTGTGGTTAGGGACAGATGCCCAAGCCTGGATGCAGTTAGCTTCGCTGATTCTTGCTGCACCGTGTACATGGCCATATGAAGGAGGCTTTATTCTTCTCCCGAACCTGTAGACCTTTTTTTTTTTTTTTCTCAAAGGTTTTAAGTGAAGCCTGCCCCAAGAACTTCTGATATTTTGTACAGCTCCATTCTTTCCTCTTTTCTAGGATGAACTAGCATTTAGGTCGAGCGCCCCCTAGCAGTACAGGAGAGAACCCCATCCTTCTGAGCCCCACACATGCGCGTTGTGCTCTCCAGTAAGTTAGTGGCTGTGACAGGAGACAGCATTGCAGCTGCTGAGATCTTCTGTGGCGAAAAGAGATGGCACTGCACATGTGCCGGGCTCAGATGAACGGCGCTCAATCCTGTACCACTGGGGCAGGCTTCACCCTATTCACGAAGGCCTAAAGGTATGAGAGGAGCATAAATTGAATAACTCAAGCACTAACTATGGTGAAATAAAAACAAAAAATTACAGTTAAATGCTGTAGCTGCTAGTGCATACAACCCATGTCTCAGTGGGGAAAGTTATACAATCATAATGTGAAGTGAAAAAATGCTGCGCTACATGAAACAGTAGTAAAAACCATTATATAACCAAAAAAACTAAGTGAAGCAATAAAAAAAAATTAATATGAATGTATATATATGAAAAACAAAAACGACACAAAAAATAAAGAATATTTTAAGTGTGAATCAAAATAGAACATGATAAAAGTACTTTAAAAAAAAAAAAAAAAAAATCAAGCTCAATCAATGAAGTGTTCGTTCAGTGAACCCTCCTTTTGGATAACGAAAAATATGTGCATCTGTCATCAATTCCCACGCAAAGACATCCTTCACCATATATCTGGTCACTTCACGCAGTGTGACCTCACATTGTACAATGGTTACCGTCTAACTGCACTTTTGGCCCCATATGGACTCAGAAGATCAGCTTGCTGAATGAAGACTCCAAAGTAAGCTCCCTCCTGATAAGCGTCATTGTATCAGCCATATTCCTCATTAAAAAGAACTCAACATAGTACTTTATCCTTTTAAACTTTTATTCATCAATTAAAACAAATGAAGTACACTCATGTTCCGGAGGTGTATTTTGCACCAGGTACGATGAAGATCCAGTGATGTACTGATTAAACACAAGATGGCAGTATCATCTCAGCAGCAGAGTCCTATACAAGCTCAAAACAGACACCATCCGTAATATAATGCAAAGCACGGGCCCACTTAATGAATGCTATTGCCTGCGGTCATGTCGTTTCAAGAGCCATTTGTAGAGTAATACAAGCTGCTATCCTGATGAATGGCATGGTCATGACGTCATCCGCACACTCCTCCCCGACGCATTTCGTCACTAGTCACGTGACTTTATCAAGGGAATGTATCTCAAGGGGAGGAGTGTGCGGATGACGTCATGACGTTGCCATTCATCGGGATAGCGACTTGTAGTACTTTACAACAGTGCAGTTAGACCATAACATTGTATAATGTGAGGTCACACTGCGTGAGGTGAGCAGATATATGGTGGAGGATGTCTTTGCACGGGAATTGATGACAGATGCACATATTTTTCGTTATCCAAAGGAGGGTTCACTGAATGAACACTTTATTGATTGAACTTGATTTTTTAAGTAATTTTATTTTGATTCACACTTAAAATATTTTTTTTTTTGGTGTGGTTTTTGTGTCTATATATATATATATATATATATATATATATATATATATATATATATTATTTTTCTACAATTGTTTTTTCTTATAATAATATATATATTTATTTCTTCACTTTGTTTTTTTGGTTATATAATTGTTTTTACCACTGTTTCATGTAGCGCAGCATTTTTTCACTTCACATTATGAGAGGAGCATAAACTGATATTTTTTAAATCCAATTCATTTGCAATTAAGGAGTATTTTCTTAAAGGTGAAATAACCCTTTAAAAGGTGAGCATTGTGCACCACAGACCTGATATTACTTTTAATGAGTGTTGGGGATGTGGCACAACAGTCTAGACATGCCCTTGGTGGCACAGCCTGGTCAGACACAAGTGCTCCACCCTTGCCTCTTGGCAGGTCTTGATGCAGTAGAAGGGACTGTCATTGTAAATCTAACAGGGGAGGTATGGGTCAATTCAATAAAGGTTACTGCTTGCAACATGAAGGTCACATGACTCCTTTTTCAGCATTATCGCATGAGCTAATAAAAGAGTCAGTTCATTAAAGTAAAATATTGAATGTGAGGTAAATACCGCACATTTGTTAAAAATGTGTGATAAAAAACATGAGATAAATCATTAAAATTCACTAAAAAACACACATTCGTTATTTATCACTAGGTGTGGGCAGGTGGTATTTTAGTGATGTAGAAAATAAAATTTAGAGGAACTCTGCATTGGCCAGGAAGTGAAAAGTTGGAGAGGGAGGGTAAGCCCAACACACAATGTACAGGTAGGCAACTATCTAACCAAGGATGGCCTCTAGCACATACCCGGAGAGAGGAAAAACAAGCGCCATCTAGGTGTAGTAGTTAAATAACTATTTAATAATCAAAAACAATTGCACAAACAAAAAAGGAAACACCTTGTCCCATTTCCAGGGATAACCCCTGTTTATATAGGTCAGCTAATACATAGGTAGATCAGCATCAATCAGAGCCTCCCAGGACGACACAGCAGGAGGGACCACAGAGGTCCACTTCAGTAGAATTCCTTTCTTAGCATGGTACATAAGGTAAGAAATCAGCAGTTTCATTTGGTGGGAACGTTGGGCATCTTGAATCCCCAGCAGATGAAACAGGTATACATAATTGCAGGTGAAGGTTGACAGCTTCAAAAATGTCAGACCAATATGCAGTGAGCTTGGGGCAATCCCAAAATATATGTAGAAAGGATCTCGGGCGAAGACACACAGGATCACCCGCCGGGAACATTCTATAGAGCCACATAGGAGTATAATACACTCTATGCAGAGATCTAACTTGTATAAGTCTATCCCTAGAGAAAATTACCAATTTGGGACTCTGTTCCAGACAATCTTCCTTATCCAGGGAGGAGATATCCTCCTTCCCTAAATCCCTCAGTCAGACTATTTTGGGGGAGTCGCTGAGGAGCACCCCATACAAGGACGAAAGGTACTTGGCTAAATACCCTTGGGCCAGCAGCTCTTCAATAGGATCAGCTTGGAGGAGAAGCAACTGAGGAAACTAGGCTCTGGTGGCATATCGCAATTGGAAATGATGAAACAACATCCTACTTGGTAGGTGGAACAAATGAGAGAGATGGTGAAAAGGCAGTCCAGCCCCAGAAAGCATAATATCAGCCAATGTCTTAATACAATAGTGCTCTGAAAATATTAATATGTAAATATTCGGTAAATAACACACATTTTTTTTTGTGAATTGACTACTTTTGAGATAAATAATGCATTAGTTATTTAAATACAAAAATGCATGCTCTTAGTGAATTGATCCCATTTTACTCTCTCTCCATCCCTCCTCACAACCGCTTTTTATTATTGTTTTGTCTTTTTCTTCTTTTTAATATATTGGTATGTGAATTTGCATATTCTGATGTGGCCATATGGATAGAAAATCTCTATATATTGTGCTGTCTTTTTTCACTAATTGGTTTGATTCATTTTTTGCTAGAATAAAAAAAGCATTGATCACCATTAACAACACCTGGAGAACATTAAAAAAATAAATTAAGCGTAGAGTTAGCGCATTACATTCCATCAACAAGCTTTATTATGTTTGGATGAAGTGGTGAAAAGTTAGAAATTATTTCTGTTTTTATGATTGTTTCTGACCCTTTTGAGTAGTAAGGGAAAAATTCCTCTATACAAACACCGCATTAATCAAGTAGCAGTTCTAGTTGTCACTTTGAACACTAGAAATTTAAGCCAGCCATAGATGGGTCAATATTCCTTCTGAACCGGACGAATTTTGATCTATGGGGAGGCTGGTCAATATATCATTTGACTTCAGTACATCCAGTCTGTCTGGTTTTTTTTTTTCGTATGATCCCTACTGCTGGCTGAGGCAGTAGCAGCGGTCATTGAATTCTGATGGTGGCGAAACCTTCCACTTTCAGAATACAATAGTGCAGTGGGAGGGATTCCTCCATCTGTGTTGATGGGGAAATCAAGCAATTTTTCTTTCTTTCAATGTGAATTGAAGGAATAAAAATTGCATAATGTATGGCCAGCCTTAGGAATAAGAGGTTTCAAAAGTATCACAGGTATATGACGTAAATTTGTGCTATTTTTCTAGGTTGAAGATTTGTATCTTATCGCTATATCTCAAAAGAAAGGAATTAAGTCTTTGCGTGATCTCACCGCTGACCATCTTCCATTGCTCAGGAATATCTTGAAGGAAGGAACGGTAAGGAAAAGAATGAGACTCTATTAAATAAAAGATCAGTTGTCTGATTATTCAGGGTGCTGAGCAGTTTCTAGGCAGTGCTATCACTTAAGCTGGCCGTACATCAATTGAAATTTCAGCTAGTTCAGGAGGATTAATTTTCAATCCATGTATGGGCTAACTGGTTGTACAGAAATCCATTTATCGATCAAATTGTGTAAGGGCAGCCTGTTGGGTTTTTCCTGAATGATCAGTGCCACCGGCTATAGCTGGCAACGCAGATTGTTGCATTTTGCCAGCAGGGAAGGCTCCCCGCCAGCAGAATTCAATAGCTCATCAGATCAGTGTTTTTTGTTTTTTTCTCAACCTGATTAATATATGGCCTGCCTACAGGTTGAATAAGTTGGGTTTTACTTCCCCAGAAAGAGTATGTCAGAGGAGAGAGGCCATGTGCTTTTGGGAGATTCTTACTGAGATAATGACTCAGATTTTGTATGTAAACAAAAACACAAGTATATACTTTAAATTTAAACCCAATCATTAAAATCTAATTTAATGTGGTTGTAAAAGCTCAAGGTTTTTCACCTTCATGCATTCTACGAAGTGAAGGCAATAGTTTATATTGGCTGTCTTGGGCTAAACAAAATACTTAAAGGGACAGTAAACATGGAGTTAAGGTTAACAAGATTGGAAATTGGTTTTAAAACTTATATGTAATTGTTAAAGCTTATATGAGATTTTAAGTGATTGGATTTACAATAGATTTAGTAAATTTCAGTGAAATCATCAAAAATAGTTTTGGTGTGTGTTAAAGACAATTATATTTGATAATCCTTTAAAAAGAAAACTGGTCTAAGATGTTGGTGATTTTCCCACTTGCATGTACTGGTAGAAGGGTTGACCTGAATTTCAGGGATGCCTCTATGTTTTAGGAAGCAATTCTGAAGCGTTATGGGCTCCGGGGAAACCAGCTTAGGATATATCTGCACTACCAACCATCATACTACCACCTGCATGTACATTTCACCGCACTGGGCCATGATGCACCTGGGATCACTGTGGAACGGGCCCACTTGCTTTATGATGTTATCCAGAACCTAGAGATGGACTCTCGATACTATGAGACCCGAATGCTAACCTACGCACTACGGGAAGATGAAGCACTGCTGAAGAGTTTTAAAGAAGCTGGAAAATGCTAAATGAATGTGTACCAACGACAATGTTTTTTTTATTAAAAAAAGTTTTCCGTTGTATCCATGGGAATTGCAGATGATTCCCTCCCCTCCTCCATTTTTATGTTTGATTAAATTTTTATTAAACATATTTTTGTAGAGTGCAATGACTTTTTTTTCAATGTTTTATTAATTAAAGCTTGCCTGCAGGGAAACAAGCTCAGAATATGTTTACATTACAGTCTGTCAAACTGCCACCTGCACATAGATTTTACCATGTTGAGAAACTTCAGATCTTATTATGAAATGGGATTATGAAACCCAAATGTGGACCTACCTATTACAGGAGGATGAAGAACTGCTTTAGCCACTTGACACTCAGGACAAGATTCTGACATTTCATTCATACATGTAAAAATCAGCATATTTTTGCTAGAAAATTACTTAGAACCACCAAACATTATATATATTTTTAAGCAGAGCCCTAGAGAATAAAAGGGTGGGTGTTGCAATGTTTTATGTCACGTGGTATTTATGCAGCAGTTTTTCAAATGCAAATTTTTTGGGAAAAAATACACTTTAATGCATTTTTGTGCACACTAACACAATATAATACACATTTTTTTCTAAAAAAAAAAAAAAAATATAAAAGATGTTACGTTGAGTAAATAGATGGCAAACATGTCACGTTGTAAAAGTGTGCATGCCCGAGGAACAGCGTCAAACTACGGTACATTAAATTATCCATTGGCAACACTTTAAAAAGCCTTTACAGGTTACCACTTTAGATTTACACAGGAGGTCTCACATAATTTGTCACATTCTGACATTCACGGTGATATCTTTAGATGTGATCGCTGTTTACGTATGTGTGCAAGAGCAAGGAGGGCTTTTGCCTTTGTACCTTTTTTAAAAAATTTTTTTCTTTGATCACTTTTATTGCAAATCACAAGGAAAGAACAGCATCCCTTGTAATGGCATGGGCCATGACAGTTCCTCTTATTGGAGAGATCAGGGCCTATGAGGCCACTATACATAAATGGCCATGTGAGACAAGTATCGCTTTGGGGGATGTAACCATACATCCTCCTGTGGCATGATCGGATTAAGCAGCAAAAATCCGACAGTGTGGTTGTACAGAAATCGATCGGTAGATAAACTTCTGCACAACCACCCTGCCCGTATATAGATTGAAATTCAGCTGGTTTGGCAGGGGCAGTCCAAATTTCGATCCATGTATGGCTTCTGCGGTTGAACAAAATCTGATCTATCGATTTACTTCTGTTCAAGAGCCCTGTTGGAAACTTTTCACTCGATCAGCGCAGAAAGCTATGTGGATGGGGAAATCGGTCAGTTTTTTGTTCATTCAGCCTGCTGGTTGAATGAAAAAAAAAGCCAGATTTTTCTATGGCCAGCAATTGAGAGAAACGTGGTGCATACACAAGGGTTAACACTTTGGTTCCCCATGGTCTGAATGTAAATTTTGCAAACGCCTGAATGTAGATAATGATTTAAATTGCTACCTTGCTGGAAAAAAAAAATATTTTAAGCAACAGACATCATGGATTCATGAAAGACAAGTTGTCAAACAAATCTGATTTCTTTTTATGAGGGGGTGGGCAAAATCTTGGACAGAGGGGTGGCGGTGGATGTGGTATACTTGGATTTTGCAAAAGCGTTTGACACAGTTCCCCACACATGGCTAATGTGTAAGGTAAAGTCTACGGGCTTGGAAAAATCTGTATGTAAATGGATAGAAAAGTGGCTCAAAGATCATATTCAGAGGGTAGTGGTTAATGATTCATACTCTGAATGGTCTAGGGATGTCAGTGGTGTACCCCAAGGTTCAGTGTTGGAACCCTTAATTTTTATTATATTTATAAACGATATAGGGTCTGAGATTAAAAATCCCATTTCAGTCTTTGCAGATGACAGCAAGCTGTGCAGTGGAATAACGTCCTTACAGGATGTCTTCAATTTACAAGCTGACCTCAATGCGCTGTATAATTGGGCAACTATGGGGCAAATGAGGTTTAATGTTGATAAATGTAAGGTTATGTACTTGGGGGCTAAGAATATGCATGCATCATACATACTAGGGGGGGTACAACTGGGGGAATCAATGGTGGAGAAGGATCTGGGAGTTCTGGTGGATCACAAGCTTAATAATGGCATGCAATGCCAAGCTGCGGTTTCTAAAGTAAGCAAAATCCTCTCTTGTTTTAAAAGAGGTATAGACTCCAGAGAGAGATATCATATTACCCCGGTACAAATCATTAGTAAGACCTCATCTGGAATATGCAGTTCAGTTTTGGGCACCAATTCACAAAAAGAACATTGGGGAACTGGAGGGGGGGGAGTCGGGGGAGTGGTGTGTCATGTATTAGCATATTTGAATACAATATAAATTGAGGCTCCTTGAAGAGGTCGGAAGGACAAAACGTACATAGAGGCAGTGAGAAAGAGTGGTATCTGGGAGACAGCACAGGGAAATGTATTATTGGATTAACGTGTTTTTAAAATAAAAAGGATTTTCTGCTATGGTATTCTTTTTTTTTTTTGCATTTCTTGTGACCTGCAAGTATATGAGAGGAAGGAGAGGGAGATATTAACCCTTTTTCTGCCAGGTCAGTACATCATAGGGACCTGACAGCGGGGGGTTATACACATAATCTGGTGGCTGCAACCACTGGGATTGTGGCTAAAACTGACAAGAAGACTCATGCCCGTTTGGTGGAAGCAGTCGGGCACCTGCGCTGCTGCCCAAGTGCTTCCACACACCCCCAGTACGGGGACCCCCATCCCACTTCTAGGTCACCTCTGTTACTGTCATGGCTAGCACAACCAGAAAGCAATGAGTGGAGCCAAGAAGACATGCACGGTCTGTTATACCCTGTGTATCTCATTAAAGATAAACTGTCACCAAAAATCATCACATAGGGGACTTTTTGTCCTCTATGTGATGAAAAAAAACTGCAAAAAAATAAAAAAGGTACACACAAGCACATAAAATCTCCCTCTCTAAAATGTTTTTTTTAGGCCCCCCCCCCCCACGTACAAATGTAAAAGTGTACTTTGGGGGCGCCTACGCTTAAAAACGTAGATTGTGATACACTTGTTACATATTGCTGCACACACACACAGTGAGAGCAATAATTCTAGCACAAGGCTTCCTCCGTAAAACACTGAACTGATGACCTATAGGGCTTTTGAAGCATTGCCTATAGAAAATAGAGGGTACTGAAGTTTGTCGCCATTTCACGGGCACACACAAATTTAAGGTTTGACATGTTGGGTATTTACTTGGTGCAACCTCATCTTTTATATTTTACAAAAAATGGGTAATGTATTGCATTTGATTACCCTAAAATGCACTTTAGTGTGTTTTTTTACTGAATTTTTGCGTTTCCTAGGTCTTTGCATTAATATTGTGTGACATAACAAAAAATTGGAACTACCACTATTTTATTCTCTAGGGTGTCGGCTTTCAGTGAATATATAATAATGTTTGGGGGTTTTGTGTAATCTTCAGGCATAAAATTATTTTTAAATACGAGTGCAAAAAATGCAAAATGGCTCTGGCAGCAAAAGGGTTAAAAGGGACCAGTCCTGAGCCATTGAAGGAGTAGTGGATACGGATTGGAGGAATGGTGGAAATTTCTGTTGTTTTCTATGGGCACAAGTTGACCCAGGGCTGAGTGGGCCAAACTATCTGGTGAGTGAGAAGTAAAGGTTGAGGATAGCCACATGTGATGGACAGTGAAAGAGCAGGCAGAGCACTTTATTTCTGAATCAGAACACTGAAAGTGGACATCTGCAGTTTTATGATTTTTGAGTAGCATAGTGCATTTTATGGAGAAAATTTTGCACTTTATTTGTAATTGCACTTTATATCCTGTATATTGGTATTTGAACATACAGCTGGTAAAATAAGTATTGAAAATATATCACCATTTTTCTAGGTAAATATATTTCTAAAGACTTTTTGTGTGGAAGAATGGGCCAAAATCACACCTGAGTAATCCATGTGACTTTCTCCACACAGGAGATGTCTTGAATCTGTCATTACCAACAAAGGATTTTGTATAAAGTATTAAATAAATTTCAGTTAGCATGTTTAATACTTTTTCCTGTGTCATTCCATTATATTACACATAACTTAATTTCTGAACTAATTTGTTTTGGTTTCTTCATATATACAGTTATGTTCAAAATAATAGCAGTCAGACATCACTAACCTGATCAATCACTGTTTTTGGTAGAAATGATATTTCTACATGGCAAATAATTTACTAGCAGGTGTAGTAGAGTAATAGAAATCCAACAGACACAACAGTCATGACATGCATGCTGCTGATTCTGTGTAATTGAATCATCAATTGAAAGGGGCATGTTCAAAATAATAGCAGTGTGGAGTTCTATTAGTGAGATCATTCATTCTTTGAAAAACAGGTGGCAATTATTGCCCTTATTTAAGGAAGGAAGGCAGCAAATGTACATGCTGGTTACAGTGCATTTCTCTCTGAAATTCTGAGGAAAATGGGTCGTTCCAAACATTGTTCAGAAGAACAGCGTACCTTGATTGAAAAGTTGATTGGAGAGGGGAAAACATAAAAAGTGCAGAAAATGATAGGCTGCTCAGCTAAAATGATCGCAAATGCTTTAAAATGGCAACCAAAACCTGAAAGACGTGGAAGAAAGCGAAAAAACTACCATTTGAATGGATAGAAGAATAGCCAAAATGGCAAGGACTCAGCCAACAATCAGCTCCAGGAAGATCAAAGAAGGTCTAAGGTTACCTGTGAGTACTGTTACAATTAGAAGATGCCTATGTGAAGCCAAGCTATCTGCAAGAAGCCCCCGCAAAGTCCCACTGTTGAAAAAAAAAGACGTGCTGAAGAGGTTACAATTTGCCAAAGAGCACATTGACTGGCCTAAAGAGAAATGGCGCAACATTTTGTGGACTGATGAAAGTAAGATTGTTCTTTTTGGGTCTAGTGGCCGGAGACAGTTTGTCAGACGACCCC